CATGTTACGTTAGGCTTCAGGAAAAATACGCCCATCCCCCTGCCAGAAATATTCAGCCGTTGAAAAGCTTGGAAGATCAGCAAGGCTTTTTCAGAAGCAAATGCTTCGAGAGTGCTGTTGTGACCTGATGGACAAATAGACGGCCCTGGTAAATGGAATAAACCCAATCTAAACCAGTGCCATCAATTTCTAACCAAACTAACGTTATATATATATATATATATTTAAAAAAAAAAAATGAATGCTTAACGAGCGTCAATCCTGTTTGACTAACTCCTGTGCGGTGTTGTGGAGGTTGCAGTTTCTTGCCTGCAAGTCTGCTCGAAGATGCGACTGTGCATTCATTTCGGGAGAAACGCGCCCAAACCAGACTAGGTCCTCCAGTAGAGGGGCTAGAATAAGGGTACCCTATTTTCTGTACTCGATTTTGGTAGAGGAACCCTCCTCCCAAAAAAGGGTAAAAGGGCACTACTGGGGACCTAGCAGAGGTTGGCCTACAAAATGCCTTAGACCTCCCCCAGAGTCCCCGGAGCATCCTGTGTGCCATTTGCGCACGCTTCTCGCAGGCCAGAACAGGGGAACCCCGTCCAATGCTCACAATTCTCCATGGAAGATTTGCTTGTTCAACGTAAAAAAGTCTAAAATAATCCTATACCCTTCCTCCCACTAACATGTGCACCTGAGGGTACCTGAAAGATCAGTTTTCTCTTGGAGGGACCCCTTTCAGGTGCCATGTTAGTGGGAGGGAGAGAGAGTATTCATTGCATCTTGTTGAACAACAAACATCACGTTTGGTCGCTACCCGCCCGATTACCCCAATCAACCGAGCCCCGACGAAATAAGTCGGCCGAGTCGGGTTCTTTTTGCGGGCGTGGCGAAGCGAGGCGCCTGGAGGTTTTCGTGTAACTTGCCGTTCATGGCCTCGGGCTCTTGATCTCGGGCTCTTGATCTCGGGTGGCTTCGTCAGTTGGTTTTTCTCGACCCAAATTGATGCAACAACTCCAACAAAAATGCGGCGGGCTCAAAGTCCCAACAGGTCTGGATGGGTTGGTCTCGGAGTAGAGAACCCCACCCAAACTGTGTGTGTGTGTGTGCGTGTTTCTTGTTGTCTGTGTCCCTTTCAAGCAAAAAAAACAACTATTTTGAGAAACCCCCAGAAAGCCGAAAACGCAACGGCCACCTTCCCACCTGATCAACTTCTACATGCTTCTTGGCGAGTCACCAAATGGGTCTGTTTGAAGGAAAACCACAAGCAAAACCACGTTTCTTGGGTGTCCTCAAAAAGACAAACCCCGAAAAATGAAACATTTGGACAAATAACGAAACAAACCCCAAGTTGGGAGCAAGGGAACCTTCCTAGGATGTTCACACGTGAGCTTGTTTCAGTTCCGGTCGGTGAGCTGGCTGTACGAATTCTGCCCAGCTGTGTTGCCCTACCAAAATCAAGGGACCTGACATTGAGGCGGTCTACACTACAGGTTGCTCTACTCCCCTCGGCAAAAGGTCTGTCTACCCCTTAGCCATGTGTGTGTGTGTTTCCAAAACGCCTCTCAGGGGCGATTCGGTCACACCAAAGACCGGCCATGACGAGATTGCTGATTTTCCCCAGATGGGCCCTGCTGAAATGAAGTCACGCCCTTTGATCAGAATTGTCGACTCGTCGGATTGTCCAGTTTCTCCAAGCACCACACTGGGCGGCCCGTTTTCTGATCCCCCGCTAAAAGTGACCAACTCTTAGTGGGTTGACTGGAAACTACCACTAAACACTAAAAGGCCAAAAAGCTAAGGAACCGGATGGCTGGGAGCCACCAAGCACAGTCTTGCCTCAATGTGTGTGAGACTCCAGAAAGTCCTACATGGTCGAAACCAGAACGCTGGGAAGAAACACGTCCCTTCATTTTGTCCAGCACGTTCGACGTTCAGCGATTTGGTCATGCTGCCAACTCAAGCCTGCGAAATTGAATTTAGCCAGGCACGACAGACAAGTGATCGACTAAGTATCCGAATGTGGTGTCCTTCAGATTGATCTTGACAATTTGTCCCTGGTGTTTTTTTTGGCAAAATGGATAAACGCGCTGTGATTGTGCTAGCATCTCTGGGAACAACGCTTGGATGGCATCCAAAAAGTCCAGGATTGGAAGGCCAGGCAATCAGCGGATGCGAACCAAAGCGGATCCATGGACGGGCACGCTTCTTTCTCAGGGTACGCTTTTTGTTGGGGCAAAGGAACACTGATTGGGGAACCATCATTTTGGAGATTCCCCGATATTGAGACAGGCGGATATACCTCAAGATATGAAATAATAAAACTTGACCCCAGATTGATAAAATACAAACGACCAGGCTCCGACTGCCCAGGCGCCCGGCGGTGGCAAGGACTGCCGGATCGCTGGCACAGGCCAGATCGGAAAAAGGATGCGCTACCAGCTCGGCGCGAGTCCCAAAATCCCAAAACCCAACGCGCGAGATGGGCTTCACTCTGAACCGGTGTCAGAACCTCGAAAAAAGGGGGGCACGCGCTGAAGAAATCCGAGAAGCAGATGTGGGATTAGCGCAAGGTACAGAGTCCAAAAGGTCGGAATGCTCGAAACGAACTGTGTCGTGTGGCGCAAAGCTTCGCTGTGGGCCTGCTTCGCTGCGGGATGGACTGGTCGGCACAGCATCATTTCAGTCAAGAAAGGCGCCGAGTCGATTCGGGACCTCTTGGATTTCAGCGGCTGTCACCGAAATCTCAAAAAAAGACACAGGCAAGGCTGAACCCTATTGATGTTGCTTTTAAAGGTGCTTCTGGTCCGGAGTGGCAGAGATCCTGCCCATCAAAACTCTGTTCGTTCTTCTGCTACTCGTCCCCTGCTCCCATCCCTTGAGTCGCTGAAGCCGCGTTGCAACTTTGTACTTTGGAAAAATCAAACCAACATTGGTGTTTAAAAAGACACACACACACACACATTGGGTTGCCGTGGTTTTGATGAATAAAAAATATGGGTTGGTGTGTTTGTTTTATGACTAGAAACCATTTTTTAATGAAAACCCAATGCTGTTGACATTCGCATCACGGATTCTATGGAGCAATCGCTCCACCCCAGGCCCCCGCACCTTGTGACTCGGACTCAGCCCCTTTTCCTTGCGTGCCTTCGGGCGCAGGCGCAGAGGATTCACGCAGCCCAAGGCCCAACTGTGGCGAAAGTCGCCTCTTCGAGGCGACCTGTCCGATGTCGCACCGGAAGAAAGCACCCATGTGCTGCGAACCAGACTGGGAGGGTCGGATAATCCTTAAGTTTGCTCCCAAAGCCCGGAACGGTCATTCCCCATTGAGCACCAGCAACAAGAGCCCCATGGCTTCAGGTCATGGAACGACCATGTCCTTTTGGAAGAATAGACGGTGATTCATGGCCATGCGTCAAACATAGGGTAATCCGAAAAATGGGTTCCCCTTCTAAAAAGGAAGGGACCCAGATTCAGTCCGTATCCTGGTGGTTTATTTGTTTCACCATACCCAAGTGAAGAAAAAGACCAAAGTCAAACCAAATCTGCAAAATGCAAGGATGGAGCACATTCCCTTTCCCCTTCCCTTCTTCCAAATGAAATGTCTTTTTGTTGAGGCCAGATTTTTAGAGTGGCTTTTAAAAGGAAACCAAGCGAAAGACCTTGCCGCGATGGAGGTCCCCCCCCCTATATTTTAAGACACACCTCCAACCCTTTGGACCCCCCCAGCATGGGGCATGATGCTTCCCAATGGCAGCGCTGGACGTGTCACGTTGCCGGTCGCAAGACCGTCTTGACTGGGCTGCCCGTTTTCTGATCTGCTAAAAGTGACTAACTCATTAGTGGTTTAAATGGAAACTACCACGAAACACAAAAAGGCTAAAAAGCTAAGGGACCGGATGGCTGGGAGCCACCAAGTTGAACTAGCTGCCCTGCAGAGAGTACCCTAAAAAACGAGACACGCCCAGAGTGCTTGGTCCTTCCGAGCGAAACATCGGGGCCCCTCGCGAAACCAGGCCGCATCGCAAACGCGGCCGGCGGGGGCAAGCTAAGGGATGTTCGGGGGCCAGCGGCGATTCCGCAATTCCCCATGCACTGAAAGGAGTTGAGTTGGCCAGTCAAGCCTCTTTGAAAAGTTCACTTTGAAAAGTTCAAAGCGTTTCGCCATACCGGTGCCAAGCTGGGAATTTCTGGGAGCCCGACCAACACTGTGACCCAGAAAATATCTCATCAGAAGTTTGTCACCTGAAAGGCATGGCAAAAAAGAAAAAACAGAAAAACAGGTCAGCTCGCACCATTCGAGCTGCACGGAAATCCAGCAACTATGAGGCTTATTGCTTGGAACACCTTCAAAAACGGCCGCTAGACACATTCATCCCCGTGATGCCCGAAAGGGTCTACCCCACGGAGCTCACGGAACAAGTTAATTCTTGAAACAGACTGCAATGCTGGATGCGTAAGTTGGAGGTTGTCCCTGTTGAAGCATCAGGTCGTTATACGTGTATGTTCCAGTTGACACTCCCTTTAAATTTACTCAACACTTCTGTAAACTTTCACTTGGAACTCACACCACCAAAAACCTGCCGGGCACAAATCCAACCACCCAAATGATGTCAGGTCCCTTTCCACTTCACCGTCATGATTTTTGGGTTGGGGCCCCAAAAAGCGCCCCATTCGATCAGCCGCCTTTTTTCAGGCTCAGCCTTCCTCGACTCCAAATTCAAACCTTTTCAAAAATCAAGCACGGGCCAACACACCAACAGCAGCGGGCGCGATTCGTCCCCAAGAAGGAGAAACCGCCACGTGGTTCTGTGTTTCTCACATCCCAGAACTAGGTTCCTCCAACAAGGATCTCCAGTTGTTTGAGAAGTGGGGAGAAGAACAAAAACTCTGACAGTTTAAAAATCAAAAAGGCTGTTCAACTCTGCCAGTGACCGGCGTCCATCCAAGGGGAGATGCAAAAACGGCTGGTTTCTTTCCTCCGACCGGGTCCCGCTGAAAGCCGTGCCTGGCTCTCACGCCTTGTCGATGGCGTTTCTCGGCAACAGCCTGTAGTGCTGCTGCACCAATGCCTCGGGCGAGGCCGAGCTCCAAGGGAGAATTCTGACAGTTTCCGGAACCAGGGTCCCATTGGACCCATCCCAAAAAACCGGGAAAGTGCAAAGCTAAAATGTGGCTTCAACCCCACAAAACCGCCGGCCGGCTCTTCACCATTGGCTTTTGTCCATTCTTACTTCCCCTGAAGTTGATTCAATTTATAGGTGTCCAAGAGGGGTTCTGACAGCCACTGGATTTCCCCTTGATCAATTTACAGGTGTCCATTGAAAAGATTCCGTCCGAAAGTCGAAAAGAAGATCCCGAGGGCGTCCATGCCGGGTAAAAGGAGCGAAAGCCCATGAAGGTGCGCTTCACTTTGAAGGATTCCTTACAAGAAGTTTGTGGATTTTGTTGGTCACTTGCCCTAACACCCTGTCTTAGAGATTTATTCAGATCATCCTTCCGTTGTGAAGGATGGCCAGCCATATTTCAACTATGAAGAGTGCTACGAGGACCAGTGGGATTGTCATCTTGGCTTTTGGTTCACTGGCCCAACAAGACAGGCGGTTGGAAGAAAAAAACAAACACATCTCCCGTGCTTGAACCGCCATTGTACCCACACATTTGGATTCCCAGGTGACAACACCACCAGCGAGCTTCCGCTCGTATTGATGACCGCGGGACCAGGGATCCGGTGGCCAATATGTTGGGCCCATGCAACAAGCCTTGGGTTTTGTTTGGTCGTTCGTCTGGCGAGCCCGCACTGGACAATCTCGAACAAATCTGGCCTTTTTCAGGAGAGGCATTCTCACCCCCTTTCTTCCGCCGCACAGAGACTCTTCGATGACAGGCTTTCGGAGCCATTTCTGGTTTTGGAATGTCATGTTGAGGGGTTTTCTGTTTGGTTGGCTTCAAAGATTTAAGCCAAAAAAGCAAGCGATGCCATGTTCTGGGGTCCGCCAAAAAATCCGACCATTGTCTGGGTCCAAAAAAGAATCAGCCCCTTTTTCGTGGGATTCAAAGGAAAACTAAAACAAGAAGACCGTTGCGCCATTCTCTGGGTCTAAGAAAAAAGGCATGCCCCATTTGGCCATCCAAATCGTACACCCAGTGAACATCCGATTCAATCCAACCCTAAAATGGGTTTCTAAAATGGGTGGTGAATTCACCTACCCCAAAACGGGATCCCCCCAAAAACGGTTTTGACAACCACAGCCATACAGTTGTTTGCAAGAACCAGCCATGTTTTCCCGGGTTTCCGGAGGTTTTTTAGAAAGAAGGATCCCTGGAAAGAATGGACATGGAAGGTACCCCTAGAGGTTCACTCTCAGAACCCCGAAATGGGATCCCAAAACGGTTTTTGACAACGGACCAGCCATTTCTCCGGCCCCGGGCGTCTCTCAAAACCCCCGCCGGACTCGACGGCGGATCCTTCGAAAAATCCGAGCTGCCGCCAGTTCCTTGGACACGGCCGGCTCCTTCGGCGCGTACTTGGCCAGGACCTGCCGGGAGGAGAAAAAAACCACGCGCGACCAGTGGGTCGAAGGGAGCCGTGTGTCAAAACCGACCCCGTTTTTTCCAGTCCAATCCAATTAAGGGTTGCTGGAGTCAGCTGCTCAAATCCCAACCCATCCAAACTAACTAAGGATTGCCTGAGTCACAATCGAAACCGACCCTTTTTGTCCAGCTGCTCAAATCCCAACCAATCCAACTAAGGATTGCCTGAGTCACAATCAAAACCGACCGGTGTATTTTTGTCCAAGGACGGCCTGGCTTTTCGTGGTCATCCTCTTGCAACACTTGTCAGCTTGTCTTCGTGGCACTCTTTCGGCGGCTCGAATCCCGATCCAAACCAACTGAGGGTTGCCTGAGTCACAATCAAAACCGCTGGGTGAAAAAATGCTCTACCCCAATCCATGTCAAGAATTAAGAAGGCGGATATTCCACCCTTGGGCGGGCTGTTTTCTTGTTGCAGCCCGCTAGTAAACAAGAAACAGAACTCAAAAACCGAGCATGGCAACCGGGAAGATTTGACCACCCACTACTTGGGGTAGGTACGTTGCGGGGGGTGGGTCGTTGAGAGGATTCCTTCGGGTTTCTGAAACGGGTTCTTTAGGGTTGCCGAGGGAGCCTTGGGAACCCGCCTTGGACCACGTAACGGTTATAACCCACTTATTGGTCTCTCGTTCAGTGGGCATAACCCTGTTGGCTTAGAACCCAAGTGGCGTTTTCCGGCAACTAACTTTGCAACGAACATCCAAGTACCCTTGTCTCCTGGGGCTTCCCTACATTAAAGAAACCTCCAAATTCAAAAACAGAAAAATGAGAGAGAGAGAGAGAGAGAAAAAAAAAAAAGATGGAGTTTCTCCAACGGGAGTTCGGACCCCCTTTCTTTCTGGTGTTTGGAGGGTCCTGACCACACGAAAAAGGCCACCACCTCCGCCTCAGGCGGCTTTCGGCCCGGCGGTCTGCGGCTTTCGGCCCGGCGGTCTGCGGCAGGCAGCGCGCCTTCTGCAGCTTCTCCATCTTCTTGTCCGACTCGCGGCGCCTCTCCCGGCAGGTGCGCAATATGGGTGTGTCGTGAGAACGAGGACTCGGACCCCAACATGGAATCGGCTTTTTTTTTTTCGGGTTTGCCTGTGAAAAACACAGGCGCCCATGTCTGGGGGCGAAATCAACTTTGGGAACTGCCACGACCCATCTCCCACCATTGCGTTCAAGCTCTGCTATCAACTATGAAGTCACAGTCCGGATTGACGAAGCCTCTGGGTAGCCATGACGGACCTAGCCCAACCAAAGGGGTTGCAAGGTTTTGGGTTGATGACCAACGGGTACCCTCCAAACACGGAAGTTTATATAAAGCGAAAGCCGCCTGCCATTTCGGGGATCTCTGCACTTCCACGATAGGGAGTTGGCTTCTCGAGCGGAAAGCATACATCTGACTACCCGAACTCACAGAATCGGGGTCCGCGCTTGTCCATCACCTGCTCCAGAGCACGCCGCGCCTGGCCGCTTCGGTTCGCCGTCCGTCTTTGCTTCACCCCCACCCCAAACTGGGAGGTGGAAAGAACCCAGTTGGGCAACCAGCTACACCAAAACTTGTGCTGCTAATTGGACATCAATCGTGGGCATATTACGGGAATGCTGCGCATTTGAGCGTTTCACAAATGTTATAGCTCTTTTGGGCTAAGTCGGAAAGCTCCCACTCCCCGCAAAGGGAACCCAGGATTGACACTGGTTGATGAATCGGGCGGCTTTCCCATGCGAGGAACACGCGGTGCCCAATGTTTTGAAAGACACTCGCCAGAGCAATTCAAGAATAATTCGCATGAGAAAGTCCCAACGTTGCCCGGCTTCGGATGACATTTCTTTCGGGACCCCAAAACGCGTCAAGCAAGTTGTGTCACTGCCCAACCAAGTTGCGCTCTGTCTTGCTGCGCAAGCTTCGGGGGCTTCGCACAGGGAATCAGGAGCATACGGTGTCGCTTCCCGGGTCACTGCATGTCTCCGTCAAAGAGTTGCAATTTGCGACTTGGTTTCCATTGAAACTGCCGCTGTTGGAGGTTTCAAAGAGGGAAATGGAGGCAACCCTGATCCAGAAACGGACATGTCTTGTTTGGGGGGATGACTTCCGGGCAGTCCAAGTTGTCCAAACAAGCTGTTTCCTTCAAACTACAGCGAGTACCCAGCTTTTGTTCACTTAATTAATACAATCATGAGACTAACATCCCAAGCGCCGTCTGCTTCCCTTGGGAAACGGCTCAAACCCTCAAGTCACAAAAAGAATTACGGGTTGCCCTCACTCATTCCGCATCCCGCAGTTCCTTGGTGAGCTCATTCCGCTGGCGCGTCATCATCCGCAGTGCTTCCGCCGCGTCGCCTGGCGAAACACGAAAGCACCCCATCCGTTTGTCCACTGGGATCATCCGCATCGCCAAGGTTGCGATGGAAAAAGCAACAGGACAGCGTTCCCTTTCTGCGTGCCAATCACATTGTGGCCAAGTTGGACGACCAAGCTTTACATCATACCAAAACAGGTTTTGGGTTGTGGTAGATGTGAATGAACGCCCTCCCCCCCTCTCTCTATCGATCTATATGTCTATTTATCTATCTGTCCATCTGTTTATCTATCTGCGTCGCATGTTTAACAGTTATACTGTCCGGCAGTGTTCAACGTACCCCTCCCCGCCCCCCACCCTCCTGCCCGCATTAGCGCTTTTTGTGGGACTGCCCTGAATGTAAATCTCAGTTAAGAGGTGAGTCTTAGCTTTCGGGGTGGTTTTGCCCTTCAGAGCCGCTTTCTCTGGTGGTTGAAAGGGAAAACACCCAAAAAGGAACCTTTGGCAACCCAACCCCCCCCCCCCAAAAAAAAAAAAAAGGAATGCAACAACTTGGTACCCCCAACCAAGCTTTGGGACTCCCAAAAAGCGGCAGCCGAGGCAAAAGCAAAAACCACGGAGAATCACCCTCCAAATAATCAAATTTTGAGTACGGCCCAAGCGTCAACAAGTGCTTCTCGTTGGGGTCTTCTGAGAAGTAACGGGCGCCTCGTCTTTTTTGGGTGGGTTGGTCGTCCTTTGCTTCTTTTAAAACCACCAAAAGGGGTAACCTCAAAAAAGGCAACCACACCCACACGGCTCCCTCCATGTCCCTTTTTGCGGACCTCCAAAAGTGGCAATCAATGTTGGAAGCCCCAGTCATTTGCAACTAATCAATGTTGGACGCCAGAGTCATTTGAAACTTTCACTGGAAAATCCAGTGAAAAAATGCAGACCGAAACCAGGTCCTGGGGTTGTAGAGGTTAGAAGAAGGGTACCAACTCTTTCAGTTTTGCCTATTTTAGTAGGGGAACCCTCCCCCCAAAAAAGGGGTTAAAATGCGCACCCAGCTGGACCCAGGTGAAAGGAAAACGACCAGCGTCGGAAAATCGATCGCCCCAGCCTTCGGACTGCCGCTCCGCCTGCACGAGCCCGCGCTCGATTCCCCGAACTTCCAAGCGCGAGAAGAAGCGAAGCGCGCTGGGAACTTCGCCGAAAACGACTTGGGCTTTCCCTGGCTTCCGAAAAAAAAACATCGCCCAAAGTGCTTTCTTTGGTGTTTTGGACCCGATCGGTGCCATTCAGAAGTCAGACGCGCGAAACAAATTACGCGAACGGAAGTGGAGGTTGGGCGAGCTGTCCTTTTGGTCAAGGGCCCCTGGATGTTCCCCCTAATTTGATGAGTTTACTGACGGGTTGAAGTTGAAAGCATCGCCACGTTTGGAGCTTCCCTTCGGGCATTCTCGGAAGCCCTGTTGGTTGACCCCCGTCTTCAGAGCCTTAAAACGGAGCCATTGCCTGGTGACTAGCTCGGGGCCAGGGCCTTGATACCGAGCTCCAGCCGTGACCTTTCCGTGGCTCTGGTCGCTGAATAAGATCTGTCACACTTCAGCCCTGGGAAAACGGAAGGCATAAAGTGCACACTCGCGGCAAGAACAACAGCGTGAAACACACACCAAAGCCCACTTGGTCCCTATGAGTGATACTCTCTGATATTAAAAAATGCATCCTTTAATGGACCTTCTCGTCCTCTCAAATGGAAAACTGCCCACGTCCAGTTCTTACAGACTTTTCAAGTGGCGTTTTGCCCGTCCACCTTTTTGCGAATCTGGGCAAACGACTCCCCGAACTGGAAACAAAGGACGCCGGAGCGGCCGTTTCCCCACCGGGCCTTGGCAGCCTTCCGTCGCGCCTGGACGTCCTAAACAGAAAATCGGGAAGCGGCGGGATCACGCGCCATGGTCGGCCTTGCCTGCCTAATCCAAGTTTGCCCCCGCACTTTAACCCAAACTGGGTGGAAAACGTTGCTTGCCTCTGGTTTCCTTTGTGCATATTCACTTAGAAGTTTCTTGCTAACCGTGTAAGCCACGGTCAATATTGATTGTGTCCCGCACCCACATGGGATGTTGGTGAGTAACCTCATTTCCCTTCACTGCTCACTTCAACAAGCAGAAGATGCATCATGAAGAGCAGCGGAGAGAAGGTAAAGCGACTGGCAAGGAGGGCAACGATGACATGCGGTCGAAGTGGTATCACCTCGAGGATGTTGCAGATGTACTTTGTACGCAATGTCGAGCAGAGGGAGCTCAATCCACGGCCGACTATTTGTACAATGCGAACACATGCATCAATTGCCACGCCAACGGGCTGATCGATCAGAATACCATGTACAAGGGAGCTGTGACAGCAGCAAAACGGATATCCGCACATATTTCTATTGTTGGGAGTGTCCCTTCCCCATATCTCCCTGGGTTTTGATTGTGTGGCTCTCCTGAACAACATTAATTTGCTTCTTCATTCATTTAGACCTAGAGAAAAACCACAACACAACACTGGATCAGCCCTGCCCAAAGCCAACAAAACTAAGCAGCCATGAGGACGCCAAAACAACAGCGATACGACGAAAAAACTTACTCAGACACGTTTTCAACAGGTAGCCACTCGCCTCGTGAGAAGAGCTCCTTTCCGTCTGATCCCTGGCATGCTCCATGTGCGATCAGTTTCTTTGCTGCTCAGTACGTTGACAGAGCAAGAGCTGCCAGAATGCAACTGCCGTCAATAAACACTTCAGCTCCAGGGGTGCGTCCGACATCCGGAACGTTGTAGGTACGGATGAAGCACTGACGATCAGCTGGCACGAGAAGTCGCTGGAGCCAAGACGGCGTTGAAGGCCAGAACTGGAAAGGAAGTCGGCACTTTGAAGTCCAGCAGTTCAAGGTCCTGCGGGAAACGGGGCGCAGACGCGTCAGCCTCATCAAGGAGAGCCCGCCCGCTGGGGTGGATGGAGTCTTGGTCCCAAAACATTGGCCTGGCAAGGCGCGCTCCAAAAGCCACCAAAGCCAATTATAGCAGTCAACGGCACCGACGCTGCAGGACGCTGAGAAGTTTCACTGTGCCGCTGACTGGGGCTCGGGAGATCAGCTCGCTCACTTGCCATCGTCCAGCCACCAGGGCAATCAAAGCCGTAGCGCTTGCCCGCTCATAGCTGGCCAAAATGGAAATTTCAATTTCAACCCTTGTTGAATATTATGCGGGAAAGGATCCTGCGCAAAGTGTAAGGAAACTATGCAAAAAGTTCTCTAAATTCTGACTTAAAATGGAAAGTCAAATTGGGTCCCTTGGGTTCCTTCCTCAAATTTCCTTCCCTTGGGTTCCGACTCTACTTGCATTGCAAATTTACGCTAGAAATCCAGTAGGATTCGGAGCAAGTATTTCTTAACGGCCCACAGAACGGTGGAGACATCTGAGGTTGGGTGGGCATCTTCGAAGCGAAGCCCAAACTGTGGGCAGGCCTTTTGAGGTTGAGACATGAGATCGCTCGGCGCTACACATCCAAACATGAACATATATGGCCATGGGTCAAAATCCAAATCGTACCCCCGTGAACATCCCAATCCAACCACTAAAATAGGCTCTAAAATGGATGGTGCCATGGTACCATTGGCTTTGACCAGCCATATCCCTGGCTGCATATCCCTGTGTAATCTCAAGCGTAGAAGGTACGGCATATTGAAGCTAGCTCTCTGAGACCGATGAGAGAAGAACGGACGCGCGGGATTTCAGGCGCAGAACTGCTGCGGGGGAATATTAATCAGAATGTGGAAGAAGAAAAAAAAGCGGCACCCTCTGCGGAATTCCGGGGCTTTGGGGTGCTCGAAGGTTAGCCTGATTGCGACGCCTGGTCACAGTGCTTTTGGAGCGGGCGCGGAGCTCTGTCGGGGCGCGTTCGGAGAAGGGACCATTGGCACGGACTCGCATGGTTTTACGTGACAGGCGCAGCACTTTTGCAAGGCGAGGTACAGAATCTGCGGCAGGCTCAGCACTTTCGCAAGGTTATGTGCAGATTTTGTGGCAGGCGCAGCGCTTTCAGAAGATAGATAGATTAGATTGATAAACAGACAGATAAATGGATAGATAGACAAATAGATAAACAGGCACATAAGAAAGATAGATAAGAAAGATAACATGTACAAGACAGACAAGACAGATAAGATAAGACCATGAAGATATTATAAGAAAAAGTGAGATATGATGGAACAACAAATAGATAGATGGAAAGATAAAGGAGGAAGAGAAAGAAGAGAAAGACAAAGAAGAGAACGAAAAAAAAAAAAAAAAAAAAAAAAAAAAAAAAAAAAAAAAAAAAAAAAAAAAAAAAAAAAAAAAAAAAACCTGAAAAAAGAGAGAGAGAGAGAGAGAGAGAAAAAAAAAAAAGGGGAAGATACCGAGAAAGCGAATGAGAAAGAGAGCGACAAAGAGCGAGAGACAGAGAGAGAGAGAGAGAGAGAGACAGAAAGAAAAAATGAGAAAGAGAAAGGGAAAGGGAAAGAGAAAGATAACTATGGTTCTTACATTTTGAAACTCCCCCCCACTGGCTTCTCCGGCTCTACTGGTAAAGTGCCTTTGTAGCAATAGTTATGATATTTCAAAACAAGTTGACACATCCAATAGAATAAATGAACGAGCATGCTCGCATCCCCAGCCAGCATCCCTGGCACAATCGGCATTGTGTAGCATCACCAGCCAGCATCCAGCACCAGAAAACTGCTGGAACCAGACCTCAAATAAAACAACAAAAACGTGCAGTCTGGCGTGATTGTTGCACAAAAAAACTCTGCATTTTTTAAACGTCGGACTTGCCCTCCCGCCCTACTATTTCTATGTTGAACCCCAACGTCTATCGTACTAAAGGTCGCTTTCCGTCACTAACGGAAGGAACACAAAAAGTGGGTCCATGGGCCTCCTCTGCAAATGGCTCGTGTTTTGGAGTCCATGTGGGTGTGCCCGTTTATTTTGAGGGCACTTCTTTCGTTGTGGTCTTACAGGAAAACTCCCCGTTTTGGGGGGTCCCAAAAACAAAAACACCAGCATAGACACCCCAAATAGCGTTGGAGATTTGACCTGGCTCTTTCTTGTCTGCCGCAAATCATCCGGTCAGGTCCGCAACCCACATGACATAGGATCCCGCAAGTGAATGTCCCTTCAAGAGACAGACTCCTCCCCAATTGAAACCGAGAAAGCGGCTGGTTTTGCATCAGAACCAAGGTGGACAAGAGCTGAAACCCAAAGACCTGCTTTTGCTGCCTCTCAACCTGACGAATCAGTGCTCCTTTGAAAGGATTCGCCTAATCTGACTCCGACAGGAAACAACAATCCCCTTTGATGCCTTGCAGTCTTTGGAACGGAAATCGGCCAGCTACCAGGACGATTTATCCCCTTTTTCTCCCAAGGTCTTTCAATTGGATATGGCCCATGGGTCAAAATCCCAAGCCCGTACCCCCAGTGAACATCCCAATCCAACCACTAAAATAGGCTAAAATGGGTGGTGAATTCACCTACCCGAAACTGGGACCCCAAACCGGTGTTGACAACAGCCATATGGGAAACCAGCAAACTGGGCTATGACAGACTTGGAGTGCATGGGCCATGTGTTTTGCAACCATCGCCTTTCCTTTTCGCAAGTCTATCCACACCCACTACCCTCACCCGGCCCGATGTGGCTGAAGAAACGTCACCTCTCTAGAAAGAAGGCTTAAAGCCCCAAAATAACGACACGCCCATACAAGAATTATTTCTTCGGAGTGTATGGAACCACCTGAACCCCGGACCTCCTTCCACCCTGCCACCGCTTCAACCGAAGGCGAAAACACGCGCCTCAGAAGAGTCCAGCTTGGAGGGCCTCGCAAAGGGCGCTTGGAGGATACCCTCCCGGGCTTGGGGTCTTGGGGGTGGGGGGGGGGGGGGGTTGGGTGGGGGTTGGGGAGGGGTTGGGGGGGAAGGGAGTCATCTAGAAATTGGAAATCGCCCCAATTGTGTGAGGCAATGTCCCATGTTGAGGCGTGGTTCAAGGTGCCCACACTTTGAGTGACATGTTTTGTTTCTGGCATCCACATTTCGTGCAGGACATGCGCGCCTGTTTTTGCAGGCTCGGCCCAGGAGGCCCCGTGTTTTGGGCCGGGGAAAACACGAAAAATGTGTTGCCAAGAGGGCCGTGTGTTTCCTGGAACCTATGAACAGCGGCATCTGGGCAATTCAAGCGACCACACAAGGCGAGTTTTGCCGGGGGCCTCTAAGACAAGAAGAACCAAAGAATGAAACGCCGGCCATCTAGGATCCCTTCGTGCCAAACCCCCATGCCCGTCGTTTTTTGCCACCTTGTAGACACGAGCGGCATGTGTCGGAAAGAAAACCAAACAACAAAAAAGCGGCAGAGCTTTCTCAGGTCAGGGCTCAGACTCTCGCTCCAAACACTTCTCGCCTTAAAAGGCCAACCTGCCACCAAATGGAGCGGCTTCCCTGCGTGTGGAGAGCAGTTGAGGGTCCAGGTACCCAAAAACGAGCCGCGAGGTCCGCCTGCGCTCCGCATCCGGCTTTGGCGGCGGCGGCATCGAGGCTTGCATCTCCTCATATGAGTCGCAATCAAAACCCGGTACAAAACTGGTCGACCCAGAACCATGTCAAGCACTAAGAAGGCGGCCGCAGCTATTTGTGGCTGGGATCGTCCCTTACTAACCTTCGCTTACCCGGTTCATTTTGGGCTGGCCGGGCATGAACACCGCTTGGCTTAGTGTTGTTTGGCATAATCAACCAACAAACCAACCAACAAACCAACCAGCCAACCAACCAACCAACCAGCCAGCCAACCAGCCAGCCAGCCAGCCAGCAAGCCAACCAACCAGTCTTGGAGCCCTTGCCAAGCTTCGAGCCACTAGCAAGAACAAAGAGCAACTGGCTCCTAAAAAGGCCCACACATCTCCGCAAAAAAAAAACACACCCTCAAGTCATAGGACTCATAGACCCCTGCATGCGTGTGTTTCGCCTTTCTTTTTCGGGGGGGAGGGGAAAGGCGTGTTTTTTTTTACCAGTGGTTCCACCCCTACCAGGGACACCCCGGGCCCCATCTTCTTACCCCATCCCAGGCTCCGCACCGAAGGGGGAAATTTTTGGACCCGGAGGAATCGGATCCAAAAGAGCTTCGCCTAATGATCACAGGAGAACCCCCCCCCTGTCCCTTGAACTGACCTTGAGAATGCTGAATAATAATGAGAATAATAATGAGAATAAAAAATTATGTAGCATTATTCATTATTATTACTATTTTATTGAGAATAATCATTTAGTTATGTATTTTTTAATATAAAAAAAATGGGGCCGGTGTACCCCCAAACCCCCCACTTCACACTTGCCAGGGCGCAAGACATCTTATGCGCCTCTTGAAAATGTATGTCGTTTTTGCCGGCCCCAAATTTCGGGAGGGGGGGGGGGCGGGGAGTCCATTCGCGTGTCGTTTTGTTGGTAGTTGGTTTTCTTTTTGCCTTCCCTCTCAACTCAAAAACACGGTCATTTACCCCAAAAGATGCAAGACAGACCCATGTTGGGTTACCCCAAAGACCACCCAGCAGGTATGGCCGCTCGGTTATGGGAAGCCCCCGGATCAAGCAGTTTCCCTGCCTGATGTTGGATCGCGGGGGGTCCCCTTCTAGCCGTGATTTAACTCACTTCTGGAGAACCCCCCCCCCCCCGCCCCACTCCCCTAGTAGAAAGGGTGTTAATTAAAAAAAGGGCCACATTGTCCACATCGCATGCGCTGTTTCCTCTCTCTTTTTTGTAGACCCCTTTACATCGCCCACGTCGCATGCTTCTTTTCTAGATGCCTACATGTGTCTTTTTGTGTGGATGCCTTCATGTGTGTTTTTTCATGCGCTGTTCTTGTGGATGCCCATGGATTTTTTGTTGTGGATGCCTATGGTTTTGGATGGATGCCCTTAACGCCCATTCGACTCACCGGATCAAGCGGTCTCCTTCTTGGCCTGCGCGAGCTGCCCGTTGCGGAGCATCTGCCGGAGCCGCGCCTGGAGCCGTTCTTCGAAACTAAGAAATTCTAGGGGTTGATTCCTTGTCCATTCTTTTCAGCCATCGTTCTTTTCAAAACCAGGCATTTCCCCGGGGCGTTTGGTGGTTTTCTAGAAAGAAGGATCCCTGGAAAGAATGGGAAAGTTACCTCTAGAGAAATGCGAGCCGAGGAAACCAAACAAAACCACCCCGTGTTTACTTTGCAACCCCAACTGTGTGTGTGGGCTCGGAGAAACAAATGAAAAAACTGGCTCAAAGTTGTTTTTCTCGCTGCCCCCTACGAAAAATGGACAGGACCAAAAAACCTAAATCCCTTTCTGGCTTCCACTGTGACTTGTATTGGAGTATTTATGGCAGGACCCCCCCTTAAAAAAAGAGGAACCTATTTTCAGGTATGGGTTCTCAAAATTGGGGATCCGCCAGATTGGCAGCGATCCTTTTGTTCCCCTTTAAAATTACCCAAATAAGGTACCCTCCAAAAAAAGACAGACCCATCAGGTTGGATGAAGAGTTGGCAGGAAGAGTCCAAGGTTTGGGGAAAACTGAAGGACAACGCAGGAAAAGCTGAGGACCCACGTGGAGACAAAGGGCCTGGCAACCTGGTTCTTTTTTGGGCTTGACCTGAAAACTATGTGAACCTTCTGCAAAATGGGTCAAGTAGCCATCCCCGCAGCCCTGTTAGGGGGGGCCATTTTCCCTTCTTGAGGAAGGCGAGTGGGATGAGCTCCACCGCGTGAAGAAGACAGGCCCCTGGAGCCACCCCGGCTTCGAGGCGAGGTACGAGGTATGGGTGGGCCCTTGTGAGCGCAGGCTGCAAGAGCGGTGGGCGAGCGAAGTTGTTGGGTCCTTCGAAAGTCATCGGAAAGATCCTTTTGACTTGGGGTAAGAGCACAAGTGAGGAAAGATGATTTTGACTTGGGGTAAGAGCACAAGTGAGGGTCTTCCTTTTGGTGTCCCTTGCACATATCCATGGAACCCAAGCAGGGGTTCCCCCCCCCAAAAAAAAGGAGCTTTACACATGCGCGCGGTGTTTTGGGGCTTCCCGCCCAGGCCCATCAGGAAGCCGAACAAAAGACGAGGTGATATGCCCAACAACAACCGGAGCCCTTCGGCTACCCCCCGTGGCGGACCTTTCGGAACTGCTCGAAACCCAGAACCGCGACCGCAACTCTGCCTCCGACCGACCGCAACTCCACTGAAACTCTCCGCCCAAGACCGACCGCAACTCCACACTGAAACCTTCAGTTGAACCTCACGGAACCTTCCCTCCAACCGCGCCAAGACCGCCGACCGCCACCCCCGAAGTCGACCCCGGAGCTCCGAAACGTGGTCCGCCCCACTCGCCAAACCGGCAGGCTCCTCCCTTCGAACTCGGGAGTTTTTTCTTGAAGTTGCGGTGCAAACCTGAGAGGTGCAAACCAAAAAAAACATCCCGCTTTCGGAGGTCGACAAAAAAAAAGACATGGCGGACATCGAGCAACCCACGCTCCCCCAAACAACCCAAAGGCCCCGCACCCACAAACCCAAATGAAAAAGAAGAAAAAAACGAGCAACCCCCCCACCCCCCCCCCAGCCCCACCCCACCCCACCCCCCCCCCCAAAGGCCCGCGCCTTGCTCCTGAGCTGCACCTCCAT